TAACTGTGCCCTCTAATTTATCAGATTCCCATCTGTCTCATTTAAGCTGTTCTCTAGTCATGTCTATTTTTTACAGAAATAAAGCAAGTGTCAAAAGTCATGATCACATATTTGTAGAAAACAAGACTTTAGAAGTTGCAAACCAAAGCCTCACCACGCACACGGTTCTATTACATCCCTTTGCTTGAAACTATTTATGTTAAAATTGCACTGATGTAATTCTTAATTTTTTTAATTGAAAATATGACTTTTGCTCATTTCTATGCAGAAATAAAAGCTTTGCCACTCTATCAGGTAGGACGCAGGGGTAAGATAAGTGATGGAAAGGCAATCTATAAGTTTTACTTTTTAAAAAATTGTTTATATACATTACTGTTTAACACAGTGGTATGCATTTTTATTGACTTTATTTATCTATTTGTTAAATTTATTTACCACCTATCTGGCCATGAGGCTACTCTAGGGAACTATCATAGAGTTCATTCCCAAACAAAAGTGCATAAAAATACTGTTTTAGAATTACACTGAAAGATAACTAAGAAATACAATAAATATATATTTATTTGGTTTCATTTATATTACATGCCCCCCCCAACTCCCATTTTTATAGCCATCTTCAAAACAATATATAATTTAGACTGCGGATGTGACTGTTCCCACTGGAAATATTCTACGATAAAGTAGCTTGTAACTTGTGAAATATATTTTCCCATGTTTGCCATTCTTTTGCTTTTGAGTTTGTGAGTGTATCATTTGCAAGGTATATACTAGGAATATCAAACATTAGACTGCATACATTTTCTCTATGCCTCTATTTTCTTTCCATTTCAGGTTGGCACTACCATTAATAGACAAGACAGGTGCTTTGCCAGGTGGAAGATAGCAATGGATGGACTTGGATGTGCCCAAGTGCTGGATCTGCCTAGTATCTTCAGAGATGGGAGCTCACGTCCCTGCACAAGCTGGCAAGTGAAATTTTAGCCTACCCTCTAATTTCTCTAAAGAAATTAGCACACATGGATGCCAAATAATTTTCCAAATCTGTCTGTGATAAGGCTTTCCCATGTCTACTTTGTCTTTTGTGGCTGTTTTTATTGTTTTTGCATGAAATGAATCTCAGCTTTCTCCTTCTATCTTCTCTGTGGAAAAACCTTTCCCATTCCAAAACATCCATGCTCCATGCATGTCTGCCTGCTAATCCATGTTTAAACCAGTACTGCCCTCTACATAACCTTTGCCATGCTGTCTCAATCCTAATCTTACTCCTCACACTCTGGCACATCAGTGCTGGACAATGTACTTCCCATCTTGACCTGATTTCATAGATATCGTTTTTCTGGGGAACTAGGGATTCCAAAAAGCTTTGGATTGGTGATTATGGTGATTTCGTCTTTGATTATCTAAGATTCATGATATTAAATCCCTCCTGAAAATCAAAAGTAAAGCAAGATGAAAATGCTAGTTAACCCTGGGATGAGGCGAGAAGGCAACAGCTGTGTAAATGCAGCCGTGGTCACCACCTCCCTTCTGATCTCTCAGCTGTCCCAGGCGGCAACTGTCTTATCAAAGAGTTTTAAGGGGCTTACTTAGACTCCACCGCCTTTATTCTTGCCTGGCAGATTGAGTGTCAGAAAAACCTGGGGCTTTGTTTAGGAGGACAAGTTATGGCAGGCTGGACAACTATAGTCAAGCCATCAGACTTCTTCTACCTTCTAAAGAAGGGAGCCTGCATGCCACTACTATGCGGTAAGACTTTAGAAAAAGGATTAGAAAAGTGAAGTCATGGGGTGAAGCAAAGAGCCATGGAGAGACGGAAAGAGGTACCATTGCTTCCAGACACAAGTTTGGTCTCGGAAGCGCAAGTCTTACTTTGCTTCTCCTTCAGCAGACACAAGACAGGAAGACCCCACCCACCCCAAATGAAGAGAAAGATCCCATTTGTAGCCTACTGATTAAAAAAAATAAGATGTTTGTTTTCTTCCCTTTGTTTATAGATTCCATATTTTACAAGAACAAACACATTTTAATATGCAATTTGATATATAGTGTGTAGTTTTGTGTTTTCTGGCTCAACATCACCTAGGTGATTTTTATGCCTAAGGCAGGATCAGAGCTCATGGTCTCCCGATTTAGTGTAGTGTAGTGCCTTAACTACTACACCAAACATATATAAATAAATTAAATTTTTTAAAAAACAATTCCCTTCTGTTGGGAGAAATGTCCATCTGGGTTCAGTTTCAAGTGGGGAGAAAGGTACTGGAAACATGGAGACTGTTTGGAAAGATTGTTTAATGGTAGACAGGACTACATGGGATTTTTGGGTCCTGGGCAAAATGAGCACATCGAGTGGAGAGGGATAGATTTATACCCTTTCTTGGGCCCTGCCTTGGAGCTTCCTGTTCCTGTGGCAAACTATTGGCTACTGTAGGGATCATAACTAACCTTGTAGGTTTTCTGAGTCAAGCTTGGTTGAATCTTGCTGTGTGATGATGTAATGAATGGGCTTTGGGCAATTCCTATTATGGCTTAATGGCTTTGTCCTGGTTTGGATCTTGAGTGAGGGCTAATCCTGTCATGTCCCGAGGGCCATGTCTTTTGTGTTGTAGATAAACTGGCCCAGCCTTTTGTCTTGTAGATAGCCAAAGTATCTGCTGGGGGTAGGGAGCTGGGGCTGAGTTTCTGTCTTAAGATTTCTATTTCTCTTTTAGGGGAAATATTCTGCCGTTTTAATATTTCCTAGAATATTTCATTTTTCTAGAAGACGGGTGGGTGCTAACTTCCTACACTTTTTACCCCTATGTGTCTGTTTTCCACAATCGTGTATCCTCTACCAGAGAACTGAGGGTTTGAGGGTTCTGCACAGGATCTTGCTATTTCTAGCCTTACTCTCTTCTAGATCTCTGATGTTGTTCCTGGGATCTGTTGGAGTCACTTTAGTCTAGGCTCAGGAGTCACAGCCCCGAGTGCTCCTACCACCACTGGAACCACTTCAGCCTTTATGCTCCACATTTTGTCTAGTTCCTCCTTCAAGCCCTGGTACTTCTCCAGCTTCTCACACTCCTTCCTGATGTGATCAGTGCTTCAATATTGTCTTTCAGCCTAACCCTTTCCCATTACTGGAAAGGGCTGGACTAAATGTATATATAATTTCAGCAAGTTAATTCTTGGGTTATTTTTGTTTTGTTTGCTTTGGTATTATGATTATTAATTTATTAAATGGGTACATGATATTTTAAATTTGTTTTTATATATTGTTTTCTCTGTATTTCTTTTTTAAAACGGCCAAGTTTACTTTTAATTGTATAAATAACAATCACAAATGGGACAACTGACTACTTCAAAAAGGATTCGAAAATATTTTGAACCTCCAGTGTTGTTCCTCCAGAGGAACATTACAAAACAAAATGCTTGTATTTTTATCAAAGTCAGTGCAAACTATTTCTTGTGCAATAGCAAAAATCATTACTGTACAATTTCCCACAAATTCAGTAGGGAAAAGTGGGCAAGGGCTGTGAATGCTTTGTGACAACACCCCTGGAATGCAAGTGGGAAAGGTCAGGATTGTGATATTGTGGGATCTATGGTGAGATGTCACAATATAGATTTCATGGTTTTTTGGCACTGCACTTTGTAGTAAATACCTATGATCAACTCTAATTTACTGGGCAACATATAAATTCAGTAAATATTTGCATAGGTTTCAAAAAATAAGGACAATAGTTAGTTGGATACATTACTGCTTATAAGCCTTTTGATCAATTGTAGAATCACTTTTCTTTAAATGTTAGATCTTATATCGCTAAAGTTATGCTCTCAGTCAGAGGAATTACTGGCAGCTAGCCTATATTTATGAAGTTTTTTTCAGGTATGTTTCTATATAATTGGCTGTTACCAATAAACCCTTTCTCTAGTTTCTGTTTCCCAGGAGAAATCAAACCTTTGTTAAATTTCATGATTTTATTAATAATTTATTTCAAATAAATATATTACTTATTTGAAAATTATTATTAATAATTTATTTCAAATAAATAACATTTAATTTTGTTTTTTTAACCCAGGATGACAAATCCTCTATTTCAGATGATGTTTTGAGCCAAACCAAACCACCCTGGACTATTATTTAAAATACTGTAATGAAAATGCTATGCAATTTTTACATGTGTTGTTACTGTGTTATTAGGTAAATTTGCACATATGCTTCCTTTGTTATCTTCAGATATTTGGATTTCTAATGTTGTTGGTAATGATATATATATCATGATTAAATTTGATTACAGTCCACTATTATGCAATTTTATTCAAAAACACTTTACACTGATTCAAGTGATAGATGTGGGGATTGCAGCTTTATGTGATAAAACTTGCCTAGACTGGGCCAAGCAGAAGCATGCTTGCTTACCAAATCAAGCCTCTTGTTTTGCAAAAAAGGGTAAAAACAATCAGTGAAGATCATGCTACTGCCCGGCAAAGGGGTCATATCTAGTCAATTAATATTTAATTGTGTTTAATAAATAAATATTTAATAAAAATAAAAATTAATAAAAATTAAGCAGGGCCAAAGGCAATAGCTTTAGATGAAGGATGCCAAGAAATCCTAGGGCTACAGTATAGACCAGGAGTGTCAAACTCAAGGCCTGCAGGGTGCTTAGATCTGGCCCATGGGGCCGCCCTGGAAACAGCGAAGGACTGGCTCGTGGTGCCTCTGCCAGCAAAAATGGAGCTCAGGAGGGCTGCGTTGGCAGAGGGTTGCAGGAGGCCGTCATGGCTGAATATGGAGCTTGGGAGCCCGTTTTCACTGGTAGTGTGCTCGGGCCACCACAGGCACTGACACGAGTGATGTCAAACTGGCCATGTGCACTCTGGCCATGCCCCCACCCCCCGACGTCAAACACAACCCTGATGCGGCCCTCAATGAAATCGAGTTTTACACCTCTGGTCTAGACCATGAAACAGTAAAGCTACATAGGTGTGCCTGTGAAATCACCACAAGCCAAACTTGCCTTGAAAGATGATCTTATGCCATCACTTGGCAGGATGAAAGACGCTGATCTCCTAGTCATAATATGGGCACATTCATACGCTTCACAACAATACCAAAGAATGCTGCATTGTTTTTGTTTCCTATAATCCTGGAGTTTCCTAATGGTCTCCCTAGGAAAAATTATTGCCAATATAATTAATAATTGGTTACTGAAGTGTTTACATTTTTTCAGCCTAAGCACTTAACTAGCACTTTTAAATGTCACTGACCAGATGTATTACAGTTTTCTAGTGTTATCGGCAAAGAAGCCTTGTATTGGCAATGGAAAATGAATCAATTCCTTAGGCAGCATGAATTCTTATCTATTGGGGTGGGAAATGTACAATAAACCAACAACAGTATTAACTGTGAAAGTCAGTTGAATGATCCTCTAATTTCAACAATAGTTCATTAGCAATGTTCATTTGAAGCAACTACCTAATTGTCCCTAATCACAAAGATAGCAACTGTACCAACAAAATTAAAAAGCTTACATAATTGTAATTTTAACAGAACGGAATGCCACTCGTAGATCACTTTCATGCTCAGTGCTTGATAATTTGCATCACATTCTCTACCTAAAGTTCCAATCAGATTCATCAAGTAGTGATTCTAGATTGCCTTCCTAAAGTTCTTAAAGACTTATGATTAATATAAGAGGTGTGATTAATATAAGATTGAAAAAAATCCCTTGCTTTTCAATGAAGTAGATGTATACCATCCTTCAAATGCTGATAATAGTCTGAGCTGATGAAACATAAATAATTCATGAGAAAAGGATTGAACTTGACTCACTAGAACTTGTGACAAATCTTTTGCAGAATATATCCATCACTACCAGAGTTTCCATCAATAATTTAATAGTTAATTCTATAAAATCTTCTATGCTATTCCTTGAATAGAACAAATTTATCTTCATGCTTAAAGTAAGGATGATTTGGGATGGGGGAAAAAGAGAAAGACCTGGAGATAAATATTATTTGTACTTGTTCCAAAAAATTTAACATAATTTTAAAAATGGTTTTGGGATTGTAGATATTAATTTCTGAATGTCATAGAAGAATAATACTGTAAATAGTTAATTCAAGTCTAATTCAAATTTTACCTACTGAATGCTATTTGAATTTCTAATAATATGAATTAAATGATTTAACTGATAAATACAATATCAACGTATTTTACTTTTGTATGGCTTCCCTCCATTATGCTTTTCTTTCTATATTCTTACCATATACAAAACCAGGTAGAAGGCAGAAGAACTGGGAGTATTCGAAACAAATAGAATTTTAAGAATTGTGATTTTAAATTCAGATACTCTACCCTGACTTCATAATCTCAATCATCTAATCTAGATAGATCACGGGTGTCAAACTTGCCATGTCATGTTCCCGTCATGTGAGGTTTTGTGATTTTTTCCCCTTCACGGAGCTGGGCTGGGCGTGGCCTGCACGTGATGCATCTGGCCTGCGGGCCGCCAGTTTGACACCCCTGAGATAGATAGATAGATAGATAGATAGATAGATAGATAGATAGATAGATAGATGATAGATGGAGAGAGGGAGGGATAGATAGAAAGATAGATAGATGGATAGATGGATAGATAGATGGATAGATAGATAGATAGATAGATAGATAGATAGATAGATAGATAGATAGATAGATAGATAGATAGATGGATGGATGGACAGACGTAGACAGCAGATCCCTTTCATTCTAACACTAATATATATATATATAGAGAGAGAGAGAGAGAGAGAGAGAGAGAGAGAGAGACAGACAGACAGACAGACTGATCAGGTTCTCCAACCTTGGCAACTTTAAGACTTGTGGACTTCAAGTCCCAGAAATCCTCAGCCAGCAAAGTTGGCTGAGGAATTCTGAGAGTTGAAGTCCACAAGTCTTAAAGTTGCCAAGGTTGAAGAACCCTGAGATAGACGACCCATTAGGAAACTATGGGACATCATTTCCTTTTTGTAATGATTCATGTTAATTCCACAAACCTTAAAGTTTGATATGCTATGAAAAAAAGTAGAGTGGACTTTTAACATGGCATACAATTCAAGTGGCTCTAGAGTGGCAAAACTGACCAAAGCTTCCAAACTGCCTAGGACAAAATACAGGACTCCAAGGTCACATCTAGAAATACCAACATGGCAGTAAACACTTTTCTTTCCACCCATCAGTCTTCCTATCCCCACCCATTTTTTTTAACACAACCCCATCTTGCTGCAAAGTACCTCCCCCCAACACACATCTAACATCACCTTTATTTTCAAGATGCTTCTGGGCCTCACCATAAGCATGATCAGTGGCTGAAGTACAGTACTTTGCTTAGAAGTGTGCACAGCTGCCTAGAAAAAAGACAAAGATAAGCAGGGGTGGTAGAGAGCATCATGCGGTGGGTGGGTGGGGACTAACTTCAGGAAGTATTCTTGTAAACCAGTACTTTGTAAATGATTGTATTCATCTGTGGCAGCCATTTGGTGAATTAGAAAGCTGCCTAGTGGCCATAATATATCCTCAAAATTCCAAATATACCCACCAACTCCAAAAGTTTGGTGACATCTGGAAGGTAATTTTAAGGGGATTTACTGGGTTGAGCCTTTCTTGGCCTACTGCACAGCAAAGTAATACCAAAGTAGCACTGATTCTAGGTGAGTTCTCAATAGGACCAAAACAATCCCGGGAACTGACAACTTCATTGAAGCATAACTAAAAATGAGATGCATTCATTCCCTTACCTTGGGAACAATCCAAAATGCTATTATAAACTTTAAATGAGAACGTAAGTTGAGAATTAAACTTTAATATAGATGAAAGTACTATTTATTCTCTAAGTTAAAAAGATACTGTGTAAGTCAATTCAATAAAATCAGTTGGAACAAAATTATATCACTGTTACTTATCCATGTAAGTATTCCCTATTCCCCTTATTCTGTATGCTCCATAATACTGCATTTTCCATTAAGGATGTTCTTCTTTATTTCTGTGCCTAGTACATGTGCATCAATAGTGGGTTTCAATTTCAGCCGCTACCAGTTCGTTCGTGGGTGTGTGCCTCCCACTGCCACTGTTACCAGTTCGCCCAACCAGGGGTGAACCAGTAGCAACCCACCACTAATGTGCATTGTAAAAGGACTTACTTTCTATATTTTTATTTACTCACAATCCAATTGGCAGAGGGCACCTATTTTTCTAAAGTCATGCAATAAAAAAGGTAACTCTTGCCAAGATAATACTTAACATTATCTCTGCAGATGGATTTCAGCTCTTGACCCATACCAAGCATTTATTATTATTAATGTGCAGCTAGAGATTTATACATTAGGGAACAAATACATTGACAAGAAAATAAGAGCAGAAATAAGAGAGGCGGCTTAACTTTGTAAACAGAGTTTATTTTGACTAAAGAACGTTGAACTTTCACATATAAATGTACTATCATTTGTTACTGAAGTATAATGTTACATTTCAAGCTGCTTCATATTTCTTATGCATGGGGTGTTACATCTAGATTGGCTGATCACACACAATGACATGCCATTTGCATGGTTCAACATAGCAAAATACTTTTCCTGAGCAAGTAATCAATATAACTCCATACATGTGATTGAAACACAACCTCATTAAGCATTTAATCTCATTTATATCCTGATTCTTTGGTGACCATGGAGACTGGCTTAGTTCAGAAGTTTCAGCGGTAACGTCAATGCTATAAGGGTCAATTTAGATCCTAGACGTTTGTTCGCACAATCCAAGTAGTTATTTTTACCAGGACAATGGATCTTGTGATTAAAAAAACAAAGACTGCTCAGTGGATTACATAGGCATTTTACTGTCACTGTTACATTTCTGGCATAAAGTTACAGAAATGAAATTCTGAGGAGCAAATATGTGACTTGCTCACAGAAAGTAGAAAAGTACAAGCAGCTTTAGCTCTGTTCCCAGCTGAATAAAATTTCAAAAATAAAGGACAAGTGAAAAGTAAACAGCTACTCAGTTATGTGGAATGATAATGAACAAGCAGACATCTTAAAAACGAGAAAGAAAAAGGGATATATAACAACTTGAAACCAGAGGGGTATCAGAAATATTAAATCTTGTCATTTTGTCAAAGAACTATGGTATTTTTGAGGTTATAGTCCCAAACATACAGTTCTTACTGACTTGGCATTAACACAATGGAACTTGTTTTTGAACATACATGCTTAGACTACATCCAACACGATCGATCTTAATGCACATTTTCATATTGTCATACTTTGGATGGATTTGGTGATAGAAAGAAATGCCAACCCCCACTTCTAGAAACTGAGGCAAAAGTAAGGAAATCTCCTGCTGTGGCTATTGTTGATTTCACAGATGACAGGGAAAACAAAGATGCCACAGACAGTATAAGCAACCAGCAGCTTGAAAAGACAGCAGATGGTAAGAATGGCAATATTTGCCAATGGAAGGGATCATCAGCACTCGCATCTTATTAGTGCCTGATCCATTGACAGCACTTTGGCTCCCAGGTCTCAGCCCAGCTCTCAAAACCCTCAGATTACCATCAGAGGAGAAAACTGAATTTTAACCAGCTGCAGCCAGAAACAGTTTAGGCGGTGGGCTGTCAAAGTGCTATGGAACCTGTTAATTATTGAGCCAGAAGTCTCAAAATACTAACTTTTCTTGTTTTCTCTAGGAGGCCTAATCAAGTAAATTTTCTTAATTTGCAAGGTAGGCACCAGTGTATTAGTGACCTATGTAAAAACACATTAATATCTAGATGACTCATAAGAAACAAACATCTAATAATAGATAAGCTTAAAGTTTCTTCAAATTCAACTCAACTTCTGGTGACTTCATGGACATAACCACATAGTTCTCCTGACAATAATCCAGAAGTGGTTGGCTGCACTGCCTTCTTTCAAGGTGATTTTTCAATTTTCCCAGGGTTCTGGAATTCTCTGGGGGCCTCTCAACCAAGTACTAATCATACCAAATCCTTCCTAGCTTTTCAGTACAGACAAGATTAGCCAGGGGCTATCACTGGACAAGGTTAGAGATGTGATATTAATTTTTTTGAGATAGGCCTTGTCTGTCTCATCAGATTAATATGTTTATGTTAGGCTTTCTAAAAATGCAAGGGCTCAATCACTATTCTTCTAATGTATCCTAGATATTTGTTGAAATTAGCAACATGAAATTATGTAGGGTGAAGTCAACTCAACAACAACAAAAAAACCCCGAGCAACCCAACATGAAAAGCCAAGATCAAACATTACCCAATGGTCAGGATATATAGTGGAGGTTTACTGAAAACTCAGTACTGGCACAGGCTCATTAATTATTAGTCAATATTAATATGGATCACTGAAAAATATGAAAACAGGAATTCAAGTCCTAAAAAGCAAATCACAATCTAATAGTTATATAACTTGATAAAGAGATTTGTTTTTAATTTGTTCATTTCATTCTTTAGATTCTTTGAGTGAATTAATTTATGGGGAAAGGAATTTTGAGGTTTTATCTTCCTCATAAACCAAGCTACATATCTTATTATAATTCTTGTCCTGAATAAAACTGTAACCTTAGTTTAGGGATTAGAATCCACACCCATGTACAAAAATCATGGAAACCATAGTTTGTGATATCCTAATTAATGAATGCAAGAGGCCTTGAAAAATGAAAGATAAAAAGTGGTCTTAATTAATTTCATTCTCTTGCATTTATTTATTGTACAAATAGGACAGCTTTTGTACCTCCCTTTCTTGTAAAAACAAAAGGGTTTTTTTTTTCCTATTAGCCAGGATTACAATATTTCCCTACCTACATTATAATTTGTGAATACACATTTTTAATTATATATAGTTTTTAAATTAATAAAACATTATTTGATGAAACTATTTCACATGTGGGCAAATAAATCTTAAATTCTTACCAGAATATCTGAGACATTCCAATTGAAAATCAACAGGATGGAAATAAGAATTCACTGCTCCACATTAGAATGTTTTTCTTTTTGTTAAACTCTAAACTTCTTTTTATTAAGGGAAGGTCTTTGGAATGAGGGTCTTTGGAATGAGGTGACTTTAGATTTAGTTTTTCCTTAGCCTATCTGTCCCCTCATGTTCTCTTTTGTGGCCTAATCTTAGAAAAAGCCAATCTTTGGCAGATAGGAGAGAAAGTTTAATGTCAAATTGTTGCCCCCCAAAAAAGTATGAAGGATTCAATGAATCTTACACTAATCTCTTCTCCTTGAGCCACAGAGCTGCCATCTACATAGTTTTAAGTTAAACTTACTAGTTTAAAACTGTACTAAGAAAAGGCTCAATAGCTTAGCCCATTTTCCAGCAACTGTCTTGTAACGTACTTTGCCAATCCAAGAAGCCTTCCTGGCTGATGCAAGGTGTACTTTGAGACAGTGGAGCAGCTGAATAATTTTGGCATTGGGCTTTAGATGGCAATATCTATGTATCTATCTACCTTGTTTTCCCCAAAATAAGACATCCCCTGATAATAAGCCCAATCGGGCTTTTGAGGGCAAGGCAATAAGACCAAGTGCTTATTTCAGGGTTCAAAAAAATATAAGACAGGGTCTTATTTTTGGAAAAACACGGTATCTATCTATCTATCTATCTATCTATCTATCTATCTATCTATCTATCTTTGGGATAAGCTAACACTGCTATATTAGGGGGCCCTTTGGCTGAATGGCACCTTGCAATTTTATCCACCAACCCTATTCTGAACAGCATCACATGCAGCCTGATATCAAACCCTTCTAAGATACAACATTATACCTGACTCACTTATTGCTTTTCACACCTACTTTTATAAGAAATACTCTGAGCTACGGGAACAGGCCTGTGCATTGGACCGTATGCAGCAATTGTGTATGTCAATAATAATATTGCCGGGATACATTACTATACTTGAAGTACTCAGTACACATTAAATGTCATACACAAATGCTCCTTATTATTACATATATCATATTATTCACATCCCAATATATATGCATTCAATAAATATTACTTCATCTTTACATTCCCATAGGACTTGCAGGCCACTTTTAATTTCATAAAGCTTTTGTAGCATTCGGTAGCAGGCTCCTGGCAATATTCCCATCCTTTTCCAAGACTGATGAGGTTTGTTTTATACTTTTTGTGCTGGGTGTATAATTTGCACATACAGAATTTCAGGGTGAATAGATCTGCCACCTTTTGTTCTAAAAATAAATTAGACCTCAGGCATCATCTCCTCCATTAGAAGTAAGTAAGGAAGTAAGGAAGCAAGGGAGGGGGGGGGGGAAGTTCTACCATGTTTGAACCACTTGGAAATTCTCCCCCCCCCCACTTTTTTTTTTAAAAGAAAAAATCACTCTAACAACACATTTATAACCTTAAGGCAGGCACTAGTGGACATTTAGACTCCACAAAGTATATTCAGAACTGAAGAAACTTGAGCCCAGGCCTAGTAAAACCCACAGGCAGTATTCAAGGCCTACCCCAGTCTGTTCTGAAATACTATAGGAAAATCTAACATTACCCGTAAACATTCATGTAAGAAAAGCTTTCAAATAAAACTGTTATTTTAAAAAAACACCTCCCTCTGAAAGTGCATATTGACAAATTATGAATGTTTGCTTTAGACATTATTAAAGCTAAAAGTATCAATCAAAACAACCCCTACAGTCTTTGGAGTTCCCCAATATATGGGAACGGATGCTGGAAAACGAAAAAGATGCTTCCTTAACAATCTGATATCTGAGAAATGGGTTTCACTTTGCATTGTGGTAAAGAGGGCTCTGCATCATTTCTCATTCCTGACCTTGATTATCTGCAATTTGATTTATTGTCTCATTCTGTTCCCCTGAGAAAACTCAATTCCTCCCTGTTGCATGACATCATCAGTGTTGTCCATCTTTAGCTCATCCTGCTACTTCTTTACAGCATTCTTAATTTACTAACCATAAGAACCTTTGGAAGGTATAGAAATGAAACCGAGGTGTAATAGTCGGTCTAGCTTCATCATAATAAAACCAACATTAACTTTGCTAAAAGTTAATGTGGATTTTGTTATGATGAAAGTCAACTAACAATTTCTCACATCCAATCATTCCCAACTGTTTGTTTTTTTTTAAAGAGTGAGTGCCTTTAATTCTTTCTACTGGGTAGAAAGAATCAAATATGAATGTGTCTATTGGAAAATATTCAGAAGAGGACACTTTAAAAGCAGTACCTCACCAGTTTGAAATTGGTATTCACAGAACTTATTTTTATCACTGATGACAATAGAGGGACATGTTGCGGTGGTGAGACAGGATCTTTGGGCTTGATTCTAATCATACCCTAAAGCAATTAAAAATGATAAATCGTCATCATTTAGTGATTTTACTTTATCTTCCTAATAATGGCTAAACACTGATACTTTCCTGAAATGGCCATATCACTGATTGTATCCTGGCTTTTTACAAAGCCCCTCTAAGTAAGAACTCTTTTTCCATTTCCTACCAATGCAGCTGGAGAGCACAAAGAATAACATAGTTTTAATAAGCTGCCAATGGAAGGTTGCTTATGTGGGCAGCTTTCTCATTAATCTTCCCCCACTCACCCCCAGCTTTCACATGAGAGGGATCTCTTACTGGAGCACAAGAACAATTCCTGGTGTGTTTCCTGAATAGTGAAGAGGAGGAGAGGAGAAGCCCTTGGAAAAATGACCTCATTGCTGCTTTGAATATTGATGTGCAGTTCCCAAACTGCATGGACAGGGAAGGGTGGAGGATGTGTGGATCTTAGCAAGACAAAGAGGCAAATGTTTGAGGAGAAAAGGGGAATTGGGATAATGTAATCAAGGCTGTAAAAGCACCAGAGGAGGATGAAAAATTCACTAGAACAGGGCTTTTACTGTAGAGGATGCCCTGCAGAATTCCTGAACAGAAGGCCTTATGGATGAGTTAGCTGGTCACATGAAATAGATTATTATCAGAAGAGTGGAGGGAGGAGGAGGAGGCACCCCTTAGGAGACAAGGTTCTTATTTACTTATTTAATGAGGTCAAGGGCTGTTTTTTAAAAAGGCAAAATTAGTTAGACAAAATTCTATAAAAAGTACAGTCCAGAGTTGCGTGTAACCCTCCACTGTTTCTTTGCTGAGCAGGTGGAACCAAAGATCTGTGACCCTTTTTTAGGGCAAGGGTTAAGGGGTCTCTTATGCCTTGTGGATATTCCAGGAATCCATTTCATGTGTTTAAACTCCTGATCCTGCACTCAAAATGGGCTCCGGCCCAGCCTTTTTTGGAGTGTGGCTCTTGACATGCTGCATGGTGTGGCCCTTCAACTACAGATCCCTAATTTATGAGAAAAATTCTGGATGGGAATAGAATCCAACCTTTGTTCTTGGAGCTCACAGGATTACATTTGTATACTTTCATTTTTCCAACATGAAGGAAAACATGTAAAAATTACTTACACAGACACACACGCTTCTGCCTTTTAGGAGAAAATGACATTTCAGCAAGCAAAAGCTCACTTTAACTGAATTTCTTTAACAAACTGGCTTTTCCAGCCTTTCCTAAATTTGCGCTCTCCAGTTCTGTTGCTCTGGCTAGACATTCAGGCTGTTGGTAGTTGTAACAAATTGGGAGATACCACCTTGGACAGAATTGTTGTCTCTTGATTTTAAAAAAACATCTGCTTGGAATTAAGACTATTAGGAACTTATTTTTAAGGAAGTATGTTTAGGATCTCATATCAGAGCCTCCCCAATATTGTCAGACAGCTCTGGGGACACAAATCTATCCCCACAGAATGCCCTAGAGTGGTCATGTGACACAACGGGCCACTTTGTATAGTGGTAGGTCATTGGTGGCTCTCTCCAGCATGGTTGAGAATTGTGGGAGTTGCATTCTTAATATATCAGGAGCACACCAGGTGGAAAGAATGTCATTCTGCTATTAAAAAGAGTTTATAGTAAAAAAATAAAATAAAGTACCATATACCCTTCTTGGCATCATCTTAACACAAGGCTGGCTGAAACAAAGTTCCCCTCCCTTGACCAAGCCAGTACCATCTTCATCCTTATTTTCGGTTATCATAATTTGTGCCCTCCCCTCCATTTCTCTTAATAAAGAGGATGAGAAAAGACTGGGAAGAGGGCTAGCATTCTGTAGTGGAGGGGAACAAAAGGATGTGTACAGAACAAATGCAATCTGCTGCCAAAGTGCAGGGTGGGGGGGGGCAGGTGCTGGAAACAGAGGCTGTGTGACAAATGGAATGAGCTGGGTAGAGATTCATCACCCAAGCTGTCCCCAAGGGCCTCACCACAATAGCAATCTGAGCACAGAAATAGGCCATGCCAGTTCTAAGCTCAGGACAGGAAGGAAGATGAACAGGGTACAAATATAGGAAGGGGGAGGGGGCGCCGCAGGCAGGTGTAAGCAACGACAAGCAATGGAAAACGGCACAGCCCTGAAGTTAGTTGAAAGGTGCTAACAACTCATCTGTGCCACCAGACAATTTAAGAAGTTGGCCAGTGAGAGAAAGGAGGAACCACGCAGGATAAAGCAGGACAGGAAGCTAATAAAATCAAAAGAGCTCCGAGGAGGGCTGAAGATCTTGAACCAGAAAAGCCTGCCTTTGACGGGATCATCCAGGAGGAAAAGAGCAGGTGCTGATCGTCAGCCGAGAACAGAGTGGCACAAGAAGGATGAACGATCCCCGAGCGGCAGCGAGGTTTGGTACATAGACCAGAGCTGGGAATAAAGATCAAGGCGGAACTGCCGAATTTTCGGCGAGGGATCATAATAGTCCTTTCTTGGACTCCAACCGCCTCAATTAACTCAACACTTTTCCCCTCCTCTGAGAACGTGAGAAGTACGTGCGACCGGTCGCACCTGCCAAAGTTCTGCAAAGACGCAGCGCCAAATCAGGCCGCTGGATTAGCTCCTTAGGGGGTTCGTGGGGGGAAGCGATCTTCCCAGGCGTCGGATTTTGAAACGCGCTGTGGATCCGAACCCCGCAAGGACCGAAGAGCTAACAGCGCGAGGTGGGATGGCGCGTCGCGGTCTGCGTGCGCGTGGGGGGAAACCGGGCACCGACAACTAGTCCATCCACTCCCAGTGCCGCAACATCGGACCCCGTCCTGACCGCTCCCTGAAGAAAAGCTTCCAACTTCGGTCCAAAACTGGCACGGAAACACGGGGCTCAGGCAAATGGGAGGCCAAACTTTTTTTTTTTTTTTCTCCCACCCCTTCCCTAGAATTCCCGCCGGCCGAGCCCAGCCGCGCGCCTTCCCAGGGGCCGCGCGCTTTGCATGCGGCGGCAGGGAGCGAGCGACTCCTGCGGCTGCTAAAGTTGTTTTGGAGGCGATGGTGCCTGGGGTGCGCGGGCTGCTCCGGGCTCGCTCCCCCAAGACGCCCCGGCTCCTTTAGCATCCCCAACTCCGACGCAGTTACTTCTCTCTCCCCCTTACCTTTGGGGTATCTCCAGAAAGGTCCTTTGTGCCTCCTAGTCCCACATTGTTACCCGAAGAAGCGTCTGTAACAACTGGGAGTGACATCAGCCTGGAACAATGAAATCAAGCGCTTGACAGGCGAGGGAGGCGCAGGCCAAAGCCTCGGGACTATTTTGCCTCCCCTCCGCCCCCAGCGATCTCGCCCAGCCTCTCTCTGTCCCTCCCTTGCTCGCTGGCTCCCTCCAGGATCCAATTACAGTGGATAAAGGAGACACTAAAGGAACAATGCACACTGGGTCAGACCGTCTGCCAAGGACAGAGACATCTCCCCCCCCCCTTTCTCTCTCTCTCCCCCCCACCCCGCTTGCAATGCAGATTGCCCTTCCTCTGTTGTAGTTTGAATTCTTTTCCTGGAAACTGGTGAGCGAGCGGGCATCGCTTGCCTGCTTTGCAGCCAGCCAGAGCAGGAGGTCGCAGAAGGCTGGCCCTCCTCGCGCCTGCAATACTTGATCTTCCCACTTTCGCCGGTTTTTCCCCTCAATTTGTTTATAAGAAACCAGATGGGTTTGGGTTGCTTGCTGTCTGTCTGTCAAAACGGAACGCGTGTAATTCTGCAATAAGAGTTGGAGGGAGAGGAGTTGAAGCTAGTTCCCTGGTGCGGTTACCGCGTCTTTGTGGTGATTTGTGCATACCGTGCAATTATACCAGCAGGAAAAGTGAGTCAGATAATGATTATCCTAAAGCAAGATAGGCTGAATCCTTTAAATGTGTGAGTTTTGGATTTATTACGATGTCTTTAGCATTTAATGCATTTTTCAACCATTAAATACATTTAATGTATTTTTAACCAGATCAAGAACCCTCTTCGCTGATATATCTCTTGGTTGTGTGTCCCCGGTTCGACCTGATTTCCACCCCGCTGCTAAACTAATACTCCCCCCACCTCCACAGTGTGGTTGGATTTATGAAGTCCCAGACATATTTGTGGGGAATTATTGTGATTAAATCCAAAACGGGGTGGGTAGGTGGGTGGGTAAGGCATTAAGTTGGGGAGAGGTTGCTGAATTACTGGTAAGTCCTATATACCTTTCAAGGAACCAGAACACTATTCATTTTATATTTGGAGAGAGACGGATTGTAGCCGTTTTATTGTAATATACTTTCCGTCTTTGTAGAATACATTCAGGAAGATGGCAAAACTGTTCTTACACCCTCAGGACCATTGCAGTCTTACATCAGAGAAAGTATCAGCACCATTAGCACAAACTATGTCCTTTGAACAGTGTGTTCCTGGCAGTCCAGAGGAAAGCTATAGGCTGCCTTTAAAAACTCTTTGCCCTTTCCATGCTTCTGGCTATTTATAGGAGGGCTGAACAGAAGGATGTTTTTTTTAAAAAAAATATAATCAATAATAATAAAAACAAGAAGAAATGTTTAGAACAGTTGCAGAGGTATTTTTGATGTTAGCATGGATTAGGAGGGCTTTCAAAAGTTTTTTTCTTTTTCGTCTAGTGCCAAAATGAACCAAAATGGATCTGCTTCTTCGGGTAGATTGTTCTACAGCTGGAGGCCACCACTGAATAGGCTCTTTTCTCTTACAGCACAGCCTCCTTCACTTGAAAAGCACGCGTTGAGTAAACCCTGATCTTGAGCTGTGAGAAAGAGCCTTAATGGTTAACTCAGAAATACACTAGGAGCCCACGAGGGTGACAAAGCAGGGTGCTTTTATCGCCCACTCAGAGTTAGCAATCTTACAGCCATGCCCTGAACTGTTGCTGGACTGTTTCAATGACAACCCCTTATTCACTACACTGAATTCCTGTCTCAGTCCTCAAGTGCAAACTAAAATATAGGTTTGCATTGTGTTGTCTATTTGAGGATTGCTTCCCACACCCCACCCCACTCCTGCCTTAAATTAAACAATAGCTCTGGACTGAAAAGAAAAAGCTTTCATGCCTAATAAAAAGCAAAATGGAAAAAAAAAGTGGTGCTAAATGGAAATGTGAGATGTTGCATTTCAAGAAACCACCAGAGACCACCTAGTGCTTTAGAGATGCCATATAAGCATTCTGACACATGCTCACTCCTTACCTCCCCTGGCTGGAAAAAAAGTGCCTGAAAATAAATTCTTTCATCTCTAGCAGAAGCTGCTTACAGCTGAAAGAAATATAAAGAAGATTGTTGAAATATATAATACATTTACAGTAAATGGGTCCTGAAAAGGAAATCCATGTGTTGTCTATCATTCAGCTGTCGGTTATGCCACCTTTGCCCCCTAATATGTGCAGCAGATCAAGCTGTTTCTCTCTCCAGCAGCCGGCAACTCCCAAGGGTCTCCCCTCCATCATTTGTTACCTGATCTGGGCATTAGCCTTTGAATATGGCACCCTCCACTGATACCACATGAGCTTTGCCATGGAGCTGCAGTCCTTTATAGTCACTTGTTTACTACAGCAGTCATGAAAGAAAGATTCCTAGAATCAGAGTTAGGTAACTGAGACTCCTATCCGTTTGAGGCAAGAATCAGAATTAAAACTTCCCCTAAGTTTTGCCCAGCTTCTGATTCAAAATATGCAGTGAATGGGAGCCCATCACTTCCAGGAGAAAAGAGTTCCTCTTTATCGCTTTGATCATAAGAGAAATAAATGTGTATTTTCCCAAAGTATTAAAGCCAAGTGTCTGCCCCCCCTTTTTTTTCTGCAGTGATTAAGCAAATTACTTGCTCTTATTTTAAGAAACTTCCCAATTTCTTTGTTACTTTTCATAGCATGTCAATGGTTTTCTTATTACCTTACAATATGTTCTGATGACCGGACCCTGCTGCTGTCACAGAGTACCTTCCATGCCTAAATGTATAATTGTTCAGTCAGTGCAGTAGGTTCTGTAACATAGCCAGCTGTTTGCACCAGACTAGCAAAATGCAAGCGAAGGACTGACAATTTGCAAGGGAAGTAATGAAGGGAACTTGGATGCTTAGCATTGTCTCATAATGCAATTGCTGTTTAAATGCGCCTATCTATTTTAGTAGGCATCACAGAAAGAAAGGCGAGTAGAGCAATCAGTTCACACATCCATGTTAATTATTCGTTGGCAGCAGTATTACTGCCAGCAGATGACTGCCAACAGATCTTTTAAATTGCCCACTGTTGCCATAAAGGCATGTTGGCATAAAGGGGTGGAGGGAACATGCAGGTAAAAACATTCAGCCCTATAAAATAGTAAGAGGTAAGAGACTGTTATATGCTGGTTTCTCTGAGAAGAGATGGATCCATTGTTATACCTAGGAACGTGGGGAAGAGGAGCTAATGCAGATGGTCTAGATGTAAGTGTACTCTCAGTGTAGAAAGACAGCATCACCCCTCTGGGGTATTACTCTTCTCCTTTGTGTATCAAAAGCATTACAAAGGCAGCATTACTCTTTTTTGTGTACCATGGACAATACCAAGTATACAGGACCAGGTTCTTGAAACAAGAAGTTGATTTTCTAGAATTCTCTGCTTTATTTATAAGGACTGCAAGCTTCTACATTCAAATAAATATAGGATCCATTTTTTTCTATTAAGGACCATTAAAATTCTCCTGAGAACAAGCCATATCTACAAGAAGAAATTCATTTCTGCCTTCAGGGACACTATCATTATAATACAATGGAAAAGAGGTTTCTTTAGGTCTGCTTCTATCCTGCTCCAGGTAGGGCTGGGCTTTAAGGTGTTCTGAAAGAGGTATACTGTGTTGCTGTCTAGTTTACAGGACCTGTATTACTATATCTGAGTAACCTGTGTAAGTTATATTGAATTCTGATTCATATGATATGTTTTGGTAAAATCATGTATTAAAAAACCCTACTTTTAGATGTAAGAATCAACACTTTTTTTTTAAAAAAAAGGGGGTACTTTTTATATGCAGTATATATTTAATTATTTTAGGAATGGCTATGCATAATATATTGGGGTTTACATAACATTGTTAACTAGTGAGTTCAAAAAAATAGAGCACAGCACAGCAAATGAAACTTGATTACTACTAACCCGGGTTAGCGTTTACTGGCTCAGAACATTTTGTGTATAATGAAAATGGATTCACTCAATAATCAAATTAAGGAAGTTGGGCAAACACAACTTTTATTTTTGTATATCGTCATATACAAATATACAAATATACGAATATGTAATATACCACCAAGTATGGGGTTTTACATGATTTCCACCTCTCTGGAAGCCATGTAAAAGTGGAGGGAGTAGAAGTCATGTAAAACCCTTTAAATGGGGTTGTGACATATACTGCTCAAAAAAATAAAGGGAACACTAGCAGAAGACAGCTGAGATCTGAATAAATGAAATAGCCTTATTAAATACTTCGTTCTTATTAAATACTTTTTTCTTTACTGTTCTTTGAGCAGTGTAGTTTATACACTGCTCAAACAACTAAAGGGAACACAAAACTACTGTATGTAATGAACAAAGTATTTAATAAGGCTATTTCATTCATTCAGATCTCAGATGTCTTCTGCTTGTGTTCCATTTATTTTTTTGAGCAGTCTATAAGATCTGTATCTCTTTGCTTTGGGAACCTAACAGAAGGTGCACCATTCTGATAATGCTTCTAGATATCCCTTCCTACAATTGCTGAAGATCAAGTCCTTTTCATTGATTGATTATGGACCATCAAAATGTTGATCCCTAGCGACCACATAAATAGATTTTCTCCATGATGATCTGTCTAAATTGGTCCTTCAAGTCTTCCAACAGTGCACACATCACCATTGTAAATGAGTCCATCCACCTTGCCACTAGTCGTCCTCTAGTCGTCCTCTTCTTCTTTTTCTTTCTACTTTTCCCAGCATTACAGCTTTCTGCACAAAAATACTGTAGATCTTTGATAATGAGTCTAAAACTTAGTCATTTGTGCCTCAAGTTAGAACAATTCTGAGCTGACTTATTCAGTGATCCGTTCGTTTGTTTTCTTGACTGCCCATAGTATTCTCAGAATAGCAATAGCACCAATGTCAGTTTTAAAATATAAGTCATCTAAACTACACAAAGTAAGTTCAATTTCTCTGTGAGTTCAATTTCAAGTAGAGGGTATGAGCCCAATAGATATCCGACTATGCAATGGTGTGGCGCCTTAAGCCACATCTTTAATTCCATTTACTGTCCTACCCTAGAGTGTCCAACCTTCCAAATCCCATTTTATACACTATTCAGAACAACAGCATTTTCCCATGGGATGATTCTTATAATTAATTTCAAAATCTCTTTGAAATTCATTTAGATCCTTTATTTGTTTGTAATTTTCAAAAATCAATGTTCTAATTACTCATTTGCTATTTATTCCAAACCAAAAGATTTTTTTTAAGTACTTAAATTTGTATAAAACGTCTTTTGAATGAAAGTTTGAACAAAACTTACCTGATATAGTAAAAACATGGCATTATGAAAGTTCCTAATATCTGAAATTTACAAGCAATTTGCAAAAGTGATTAAGAAAGAAGGATATGAACACAGTCCTTTTTAAAGGCACTGAGTTATGGTTTGGACTACAGTGGTGTTTTTTTCATCTCCCAGATCTCTAACCCACTGGAATGACTGATTTGTGGTCTCCTGGCAAGGAGCAACTGTCTAGAGCACTTGGAGATGATCTTCATACTCTCCTTGTCTAGAGAGAAATTCCAAAGAGTTGGCTTTTCATTCTGGCTCTCATTTGCTGAAGCCATCGACTATTTTGCACAATTTCTTGCCCAGAAGTCCTGATTATTGATCTCTCCTGAACTAAAATTCCTTCTCAACCCGGATTCTGTGATGAGTGAACAAAAACCCATCTGTTGTTTTGGCTTATACTTCCATGACACCATCCTTGTTTTCTGAACACATAGAGTTCACCCCATTCACTCACAATTAAATCTGCACAGAAATCTGAAGCACACAATGAAGAATGCAGCTTACACCAGTGAGCAGTCATCAGCGCAGCCTTGGCAGTGATATGTGACGCTCGTGTGGGATGTGAGAAAAGCTACACAGTAATGTGAGCTGCTATCAACTATCCAAACAGAAGAACTGGATGCAACTGAGTACATAAGAAATTGTGTATGCACTAAACAACAACTGCTCTAAAGGTGGAGGGGGGAAGGAACTGCCATTGTTATCCGTCTACTTCATGAATACAGTAAGGGTTCACTGCCAAGCACCTGTTGTGGCACCAAATCTTGTGTAAGTAGGACTTTAGCATTCAGGAGTAGCTCATACCCTGGATAGCAGAAGACTTCTTGAAAGAGAAGAGAATGGGGAAAATGCTTACTTAGTTACAGGAGTGGGAAGATTTTTCTTCTGTGAACTTCCTTAGTGGACCACCAGCAGTATAATCAGACTAGTTCTTAAACTAAAAAAGGTAGAAAGTCAGTGGTTCTGTCTAGAAGTTGGAAATGAGATACTGAGTGTCTGCATATGCATGTATGTGCCCATGAACAGAGGCAGAGTGGAGGGTTAACTTGCAGAGAGAGGACAGTCAAGTCTTGTTATTAGGTGATGTCAACCTTTCTCAGTAGGCAAGGGCCCACCACCATGATAAAAAGGGGGAGAGTAGGCAACATGCTTTTCCTGGGGCAAAGATTACTGATGGAAGTAATTATTCTTTGTAGACTTGTTACTGTTTTTTATATTTATATGGAAATAACCCAGTGCTTCTTATGACAGCCTCAGCACCATTTTAGTACATGAATGAAAGCCTAACTGGATTTTCTATAGCAAGTTCCTTCTTTCAAATGCTAAAGTAAAAATAGCCACATTTTAATCCAGCCAGTAAACCTTACTTTTTAGCAGCTACTAAAATCCATGTTTACATACTTGCAAATATGAAAAAGGTTAAGGTTTTGTTCGCATTCTCATACTTCGTTACGAAATAACAATACAGAAAGAAATACATAAGAAATATGTCATCTGTAAGAAATACAGAAATATCTTGGTGGCATAGCAGACTAAAGTGCTGTTAAATAGCACCAGCTGCCTGCAATTACTGCAAGTTCAAATCTCACCAGGCTCAAGGTTGACTCAGCCTTCCATCCTTTCGAGGTAGGTAAAATGAAGACCCGGTTTGTGGGGGCAATAAGCTGACTTTGTATAAAAAAGAACACTGCTTGGGGGCCCCCGAAAGCCCTACTAAGCAGGTATATACAAAAGTATGAAGGCTATTGCTTAACGCATTGTAAGCTGCCCTGAGTCTCCGGAGAAGGGCGGCATATAAATTGAACCAATAAATAAATAAATAAATAAATCTGTATTACTGCATTAGAATCAAATGCAAGATCAAAGACTGGATGGCAAGGCAATAAGTTACACGGAATTACCATGAAATAAAATGATCACATATTGTTTTAAGCATAAAAGAGCCTTTCAAAGGCCTGGAACTAGGAGTACAGAGAAGTAAAACATGTTTCTCCAGTTGTAAAAACTAGCTTGCCTTGTCACAGAGATACTTTATTTGCTACAGATGAGTAGTAATTTGTATGGCTATTTTCTAGCCATACTAATTTTCTAAATAGTTCTTAGGGATGCTTACTGAGATTCTGGAAGCTGTAACTTCAATAGACATCTAGAAGGGGGTTTGAAATTGTCTTAAGTCTTATGGAATGCTTTGAATAAAATGAAATTGGCCCTCTAGATATTGCTGAATTACACCTATCAGCATCTCTCACTATTGGTCTCACTTTAGTTTAGTTATGGCAGCTGGCTGGAAAGGTAGTGTAGTAACATGTGGAGGGCCAGAAATCAGAAGTCCTTGCATCTTTTGCCCTGAAGATTCATTAACAGTGATGCTACCATGGCAGATTGTATTTTCGGCCAATATAGCTGTGGTTGGACTTGTAGGACTTGAATCCTTTTCCATCAGTTACTTGTTTTACACCAACGCCTCTGCATATGAGTCCACTCCACATTCCAGTAGCTTTGATGTGTTTTCATACCACAACATTTCAGCATTAAAGGTCTCAGCTTCTTAGAAATGCCAGTGCACTTTGAGGTGCAGTCAATCCCAGGGCTTTAGATCCTAGATTTCAAGGGATGTCTCTGGCTGTGGACTAAAGACCCGTCAGGCCTGGCCCACCCTCTGCCAACAAATCCTCTGCCTGACAGGATAAAGTTGGATACTTGACAGCAATCCCAGCCGGCCTTCAGCTACTCAGAGCTCAGTGACAATTACAGCTTTCTCTACTTCTTACCGCTGGCTCCATCTGTCCACAGTCCATCTGGAGAAAACAAGCACAAAAGAACTAGGCCAGGTGGCTCTGGAATAGCCATCTTTAACCTGTTTCCCATCTGTTCACCTTGGTTACTAATGTAATAATCCCCTAGGAGTTTAAAGGAATCTACTTGTGGTTTTATACTAGGGCTGAGCTGGCATTTTCTTTCATATTGTACTAAGATGGACTGTGTATGCAGTGAGGGAAAGGACAGTGGAGGGATGTTAGCCTCAATTTAGGCAGGGCACATGGCCTACCTTGCTGATGCAGAATCTGAGGGTGGGTGTTTGTTTAGAAAGTCTTGCAGGTGATTCCTGAAGTCCATCCCCAAATTGTCACTAGGTTGTAATTTAATAAATGAAGGTAAATGTTGTCTGTTACATGAGGAGTATTTATGCTAACATATTTAATTTGATTTTAATCAAATTTAAAAGAAATGCAAGTGGTTTTTTTTTTTTTTTTTTGCTCCAAAAGCATCTGCATTTTGCATTCAGTACACTCAAAAGGCAGTTGTGGCTTTTTAATCCCAAATATTATGTTCTATGTTTTTGTTCTACACAGAGAAGATCCAAATCCTGGTTAGATAATCTGGTATTGTATAAAACAGTTCCATCTGTTTCTGATGGCACTCCAAATATTCAGCTCCCATTAGCCCTTCGTACCAGTGATTGAGGAATATGAAAAGTATAAACCAATCAGATCAAGAGGGCTACAGATTCATTCTCTTTTACAGTATGATTTCCCATTGTTCTGCTGAAGTTTTGACCTGATAAAAGCCCTGTGATAGAGTAAAACAACAGGGACTTCTCAGTCTTCTAATTATTCTCACTTGCTACACCACAAATTCCCCCACCCCACCCCAATAGAAACAGTTCTTGTCCTTTTCTAGAATTTTAGATCTATACTATCTGAGACTAATTTCAGTTTTGAAGACCATCTAGTTAAGATTTGGCAGATGCTCAGCTTCTTAGGCTAAGAGCCTCTTTCGCTCACAATTGGACTATCCTGTCTTGAATTTAGTAGCATGGCTGCTGAGACTTTTCTGATCTTTTAAGAAGGCAATGCTACTTTCCAGAATGTTTTGTCCAAATGATGGATTAAACTTTTATTTATGATGTTGATATCTGTTAATGTATGTGGAATCCATCTTTGATTTATACTCTTATAGGCCATATTTAATTTAGTTTTGAAAAAAGTAAAATAGTATGGTTATCAAGTAATACTAAAACCAGTTCCACACAGACCAAATATTATTAGCAGTTTTTCACACCTTTGTTGTAAATCTACTCCAAATATAATTTACAGAAGTACAGTGTTATTTAGATTTCTTTAAAAAAAGAATAACTATAAAATAGATATAAATCAGTTTTATTTAATTACAAATGAATCCATTTTGATAATCAAAACTGGTACAGCAGGAACTCACCTGAAATCTAGGCAGCACCTGTACAACTATTATTAATTTTCCTGCTCCAATCTTATTCTCAGAAGTCTGCATTCCCTTTGATTATATTTCGGGAGCAAAGGAACAAGTATGAAAGTGCAACAGGATGCTCACACTCTCTTGTTCAAAAAGTGTGATCAGTTTCTCCTTATACTGACTATGCAGGTGCTATCCAGGGAATCCTGCTAGTTCTACAGCTATGGTCAAGCACAGCTCTAATTAAATAGCCCCTTTAACCTTTTTAAAAAACTTTAAAAATATCTGCCCAAGAAAAATGAACACACTATCTGTGGAAGACAAGTTTATCACTACGAATACTTGTACATTCTTGAAGAAATCAGGCTTCCAAGAGTGGAGGTATCATGTAACATATGTATAGACCTTGTCAATTTTCTTTGAAAAACAGGAGGAGGAAGTAAGAATTTATCCCCCAATATAACATTCATTAAATTCAGAGGATGGTGCCAACATACATTCTGCCCCAATACAAGTGCACTTCACAAAGTCTCTAATGCCATTATGGGCTCTGATAAAAGAAAACTATATGCAGTTCTTCCATCCCAAAGAAGCTAATCCAGATGCAAAAATATGTGTGGGTCAAATAGCATAAATTGCAGTACAGCTTTCTTTAAACCTGCTACTCGATATCCAGATGTAATGGACACCAACTGACATACATTCTGACTAGCACAATTCCCATGCATGGTTTCCAAGCCTGCTGAAAATTATGGAAATTAAAACCCAACATACATATAGTATATCAAATTGGAGAATGCTATGTCCAGTCATCAAAACAAAAAGTGTCCTGCTAACAAAGATAACAAGGACAAAGAAATAGCAGTCAATGAAAGTTAGCTTATAGAAGAATCTATGGGTTAAAAAAATATATTTTGACATTTTGGTTTTCATATAGTAAATCAGCCATAATAACTTTGTCTGATGCTAACAAACCAGGATTTTAATTTTAATCGCCACTCCAGTGTCATACATGATGATATGTTATAATGGATAGATTCTTTGGTGTGCTAAGTCAAAAAAATTAAATCATATGTTTATAAGATACTTAAACCCAGCCATTGCCTTACCTTTATTACATCTATCTCAGCCAGCACTCAATCAGCTTTGAGAAAAAAATTGTTCATGATTAAAATCTTGGCAGTAAAGCTCATGATACTGAGGACCAACTCCTAACATATCCATGTACAGATCCTAATACATTTCTATGAATGATTATTTTATGTAAATTTGACTTCAAATATCTCATGACCCAAGCAAGAAAAATCGTACTTGGTCATCTTAATTATGCAATTAATGAATCATGAATATATGAATGTATTCTGGATGTAACACTTTCTAATAGTTTTAAGTCTATCATGGTTAGACAGTCCATAAACAATCTGTGCCCCACTCAGGTTACTAACAGAACTGCAGAAAGAAATCCCAGCTCCTTACATGTGTATGCTAGAAAAACTGGTTAGGTCCTCATTGATTATGGGCTGGCTAGGCCAGTGCTGACTGATTTGCTGTTTACTCTATGTTCTTCAGGAAATCCAGCAGCCTCTGGTGCCACTCATCTGGCTTGTCAAGATAACAGGCATGGCCTGCCCCTTTCATCATCATTATCTTGTGATTAGGTAAATTCTTCAAGTTGTTCAGGCTCACTTCACCCAGTTGGACATCTTGATCCCCGTATACAATGAGAGCTGGTGTCTGTATGCAGGAGAGAAAAAAAAATCAAGCCTGGTTCAATCAACGAATGAACATTCTTGCCTGTCTTAGATCCTAATAATGAAAAATTAGTTCAGATGAAAAATAGAGACAGAGATGCTCTCTTCCAGGAAAAAAAAAAAACTTCCCGTATTGCTGTTCAATTTATGTGGCTACATTAACCATGTAGCTAATTTGTACTTGCTCTCTGAGTTTTATAATGGCATGCTCTTAGCCCAGTTTTCAGGCTATAAATACATCCAATCAGTATTAGCAAGAGGATGATCCTTTCCTAGTGGTGATAGAAATGCAAATCTTCAGCAAAAACAAACCTACATTTGCAAAACAGAGTAACTGCAGCAGATATTTTCAGCAGGACTACAGGGAATTCCCGTTATTAACAAAAACCCACCATCACCCTAGCTAAAAAAATGTGCAGATCATATTTGCAAGCGCAAAGGTACATGCTAGAGATTAATATTAGAAAAGGCTAAAATCCCAAAAAGGGAGCAATCTGGATAGGGGTCATATTAAATGCTCTACGCTCACAAGAGGCATGATAAAGGTTAGTGAATGTTCACAGAAATTTATCGCAGTGATTGTTGTAATTCTTCTACATTCAAAACTACAATTCATTTTAAGTGTACCAGATTCTTACTGTTGATGTGAACATGGAACTTATTCAGCTAATGCAATAAAACATGCATAAAATGAAACTGAACCCAGAGAGAATTCCCGGAACTCATCTAAGTATTCTTTTAGAATGGTATTGCCCATTTTCTTGGTATATCTTCACAAAGTTATAAATATTCTCCAGATTGAATATAGGTCTGTTTTACCATATTAGTATTGTATTTGAGGGTAAGGCAGTGTGCATTGCCCCCTAATGGACAGCTGATGAACTCCTGCAAGGTTTACAGTAAATCTGTAAATCCACTTCCATTCACATTTTCCTCACATAGTTGTGAAATGCCAGTTGCATAACTGAGATAACTCAGCCCTTCTAATTATGTCTTGTACCAGAGAAGACCTGCTCCAGAATTCCATTCTTCTTTAGATGAGCATACCTTGACACTGGCATATTGGGTGCGAGGGAACTTCTCTGTGCAGATTGGAGCCACTGGGATGTAGGCCTTGAGAAGGTGATTGTGCTGAAAAAGGAATGGGAGTGAATACATGCCACTGAGAGATGGACTGATCACCACTGCTTGGTTGAATTTCAGGGCTTCCAAGACATCCTTCAAGAAACTCCCTGGTGCTGGCTCTCCAACAGGAGCTGGAGCAACAGCATCTTTAGAGCGGCCAAATCCTGGATCACAAGAAACAAGACATCCTGCATCATACATATTCTGTATATGTATCCCTCCACCAAGGATCCTCAGTTGGACGGTAACTACAACTCCTAGCATTCCCAGCTCAGAGAGACAACTGCCCTTTTGGCTAGGAATTCTCGAAGGGGTTGTTTGAGGATTGAGCCATATATAAGCACTTAAATTATAAATGGGGTAGATGGGATTCATGGCCTGCATGTAATCCTCAAGTTTCATTTTTGTGACACTTGAAGCCCCCAATAGTATACCATCAAAATTGTGGTAAATCATTCAGTAAGATATTTTTGTCTATTCTTTTCAGCGAGATAGAGAACTGTAGCTAGGTAGACTCAGATGGGAAGCATCTCCATAATCCTGTTCTAGAACCCTCTGGTTATATTTCACTACACCATCCTATTGCAAGTCTTGGCTTTGTGAAGGTATGTGTTCCTGCACTGGAAGATACAAGGACCATGCTTTGTTTCTATGTGGATTGGCCCACTAGATTTTCCAAGGCAGAAGAGAAAACAACTTAGTCCTTCCATATATTATACTTTCACCAATTGTCTTTGCTTGTGGTCCTTGCTTACTGATTGCCTTATGCAGCAACCAATTGAAGTAATGACAGCACTAAAAAAACTTTGCAACCAATCCTTGCATTTACAACTGTCTCAGTATCCTGCAGTTACATGATCACCATTCATACTTGTGACAAGTAATTAATAGAGAATGCAGAAATGAAATCTTAAGTGGCATTATTTTTTGCTTAAGTGGCAATCACTTTGCTTAAAAACCAAAGGCAAAATAAGGTGGTAAACGCATCACAATCAATTGATTTGGGCTTAAGTGACTATGTTGTGCATCAGCCAAATTGCTGGTCCCAATTACTATTTTTATATCAACCTCATCCTACACCTGAGCTACAGATATTCACCACTATTGCAAACTGTTATTACTGATTATATAAATCTACATTCCCACACATTTATACAATCTTTAAATATTTATTATAAGGTAACCAATATAGCATAAAAGGAAGATAGTCCCTGATTTCATAATTTTAAAAAATGTTAAGAAAAAAAAACATAAGAGGACACCCAAAATTAGTACACCAAGAAATGAGGATGCTTATTGTGTGTATAAGACCACCGTAAAGATGGAAATTAACTTACGAAGTTGAATACCACGACAGTGAGACCAGAATTAGCCTAAAACAATCAATTTGTTGATGTTTGAACTCCTAACCAACACTTTAAAGGTTTTTTTTGGCAATGTTTCGACAAGCTCTCTTAACTTGTCATCATCGGGCCCCTACTTTCAGTTTAGAAGCTGTGGGTATGCTGCGAGGTCGGGGTTGTCACTTTTCTCTGTTCGATGAATAGACGAATAAGTGTGCGTTTAGAAAAACACAAAAATGCAGTGAAAAAGGAAGAACGAACTTCTTCTTTGGTACAACACATGAAGGCCACCGGACATAATATCGACTTCAACAATACTAGAACAGTGGTGAAAGAGGAACTTAATAAGAGAATAATTAGGGAGGCTATCGAAATTGAAAACAGGTCGCAGAATATGAATAGACGAGATGACGCTTCTAGGTTATCAAGTATTTGGAGACCTGCACTGAGGGAAACTCGAGTCTTAACATCAGAAGATAGGCAGAGATCCCAACAAGCAACCAGTGGTGTTGTAATGCCTGCCAGAATCCTTCCCTCTTTGCAGATGATAGCTAGCAATAGGGAAAGGGAGAGAACCGAGCCAGAAGATAGGCTGAGATCTCAACAGGCAACCAGTGGTGTTGTGATGCCTACCAGAATCCTTCCCTCTTTGCAGTTGACAGTTAGTAATAGAGAACCAGAGAAAGCTGGGCCTTTAACACGCAGTCAGGCTGCAACTATGATAATGAAGCAGGAGAAAAAACGGCTGCCCTCCAATCAGGACACAGAGTTGCAGGCTAACCAGCATATGTCAGCAGCAGAGAACAGAGAAAAGCGACAACTTCGACCTCGCAGCATACCCACAGCTTCTAAACTGAAAGTAGGGGCCCAATGATGACAAATTAGAGAGCTTGTTGAAACGTTGCCAAAAAAAACCTTTAAAAGTGTTGGTTAGGATTTTAGCCAAAGTTTTAAAAGACCTTACAAAGTGTTTTGTTAGAATTTTAGAGGATTTTGAGCTGGGATTTTAGCCAGGATGTTAAGATTTTAAGCATTTTAACTAACAGACTTTTAATGACGCAGGAAAACACCTGAGATTTTAACTTTTTACATACACACACCCGCGAAAACTTGAGAAGACACACGTGTATTTATTTAAAAATAAGCATAATAAGCATAATTTATCATATTAACATAATAATTAGTCTGAGAAAGAATAATTCTTTTACTCTGGTATTGTATCACATAATACCAAAGCCTCATTTTAATCACAATTTGTTGGAATCAGATTTTATATATTCTGCCTTATTTTTGCTTCTGGTGAGACAGAAGCAAAAGTGACAGTCTTCTTAAATAGCAAATTGTATACACCTGGCTTTTTTTTGCCCAAATCTCCACTGCCCACTAAGTGTCAAGCTCACCTGGCAGATCAATAGCTACAGCATGGTATCCAGCTTCTGCCAACTTAGACAAAGTCTGCAGGTTGAGCCACGTCTCTGATGAAAAACGAATGCCATGGAGCAACAGGAGGGAAAGGCGAGGAGCCTGTTGTGTAGGTTTAGCCTGGCGGGAGAACAGAGTCTGCCCACCCACTACAATGGTTTCCTCTGTCACCTGTATGGCAGCCATCACTTTGAGATGTCCTAGGAAGACATGAGTATCAAACAAGGAGAAATGTAGCAAAATTTTAAAAGCAGGCAGAAAAAAAGATTCAATATGATTCCCTTTGGCACTGATTTTATAATATGCTGCAAGAATAGATTAATTTTTGTTATTAAATATATACATGACATACTTAACTGATTTGGTATGTTCATTTTTAAGAGCCTCCCCCCCTTCGCTGGTCTGATACTTATATTTTTTTATTTTTTTCATCTGTTTGATATTATAACCAGTAATTAAATTGTTAGATCTATGTATATTTCTAGTTTTCAAAAAATGTTTTGTATGTAGTTTTCTCTGTAATTCTATTTTTAAAATTGCTATAAAAATAGAGTTGGGTCTGCTCTAGATAATTTATACATTGCATGTCATGTGAACTACTGACCTACTTAATACAGGAGGAGGATTTAATTCAAATCTGTTCTTACCTGCTGAGCTGTTATGTAATTCTGAAAATCCAGTCAAGTGTGAAGTACTGCTCAGATTTGAGCCCGAGAATGAAACAAGATGGATGCCAGTGCAACCAACAAGAAGGCACTCTGACACAAAACTGAATAAAACATGTCCTTACAACTGTCTGGCTGCAATGTCCAAGACACAACCACTTTTGCCTGACTAGCCAGTGAGCAGTAGGCAAAAAGTATCACACAGCTTTGCCAATACTTTTCTGTTTGTAGAATACAAGAAACCTAGATGGAAAAAATAAGTGGAGGATAGGGCTCCTGGATGCCGTGATAATGACTGGATTGTGGGTTGTGTTATGTATATTGTCTATAGACTGAACAACTACAGGATTCTTGTCACCGGTAAATGGCTAAAGTGGTCAGAATGGACACTAATGCTATAAACAATGGGATGTAATTAAGATATAAAAATATTTAAGGGATGTAATTAAGATATAAAAATATTTAAGAACTGCATTTTTTCCAGTACCACAATATATATTTTATTAACTTGTTAAATTCCCGTAAAACCTCTCAAAGAGACAGAACTACAAGAAATGTCCATTTCCCAGCTGGCAAATAAATTTTCATACAAGCAATCTCAGGATGGGACTACATTTAGCTAACTTTAGCTCTTCTGGTCATCTATGTATTCCTTTAACATACAGTATTTTCCCTCTTATCTGTACTTTCCTTTTATCTGTATTTTCCTCTTATCTGTAAGCTGTTCAGAGTCACTGAGGAATTAGGCAATCTTAAAACTGGGATAAACAAATAATAAATAATTAGAAATAAAGATGTTTGCTTGAAACTTGCATTTAGTGGGACAGGATTCCCAGACATTTTGGGTTTTGTTGATCTTTTTTTATGTCTTTTAAGAAAGTAATATGGAAAGATTCAAGAACCAAATCACTCTTCATCAGACAGTAACTTTTTAAATTAGTCATACCTGCCTGGGTTTTTTCCTGTGGTTTTCCTATGTAAAGTGCAGTGTAATAGGGAGTCCAAAATAAAGTAAACTAGACAAAATGATAATTTTTCTCAATGCAACCACAATATATGCAGTGAGCCATTGTCAAGATCGAGGGGAAAAAACCAACAAATGAGGTTCTGTAAAACTTACCAAGTTATTGCCTTAATTAATCAAAACGATGAAGTTTTGAGAACAGGCTAACTTGCAAGAGGCATGCAAACCGATCACTGAAAGATTTAGCACTCGCCAGAACTTCCGGGTCCAAAGGTATTAGAGGAAGTTTGACGAAAGAGGGGAAAAGGGTAATAATACTGTGAAAGTTGCAACATTTTCTAAGCAAAAGTTCAAACAAACACTAGGGACATCTAGTGGTCATGAACAGAATACCATACTTTTATTTCTACAATAATTCAGTAAAATTTGCAGATAAGTGGTTCTAATATTATCACTTACTATGTAAATATAGTATTTATATTATTTTCCAATATCTTCCAATGTTTATTCCTAACAAGGAATAAACAGAAACATTTGTGTGTATGGTTTTGTATGTTTGTGTGTGTGTGTGTGTGTGTGCACGCCTTCAAGTTAATTTTTGACCCTGACAAGTGCTTGGACAAGTCTGTGCAGTTTTCTTGGCAAGAGTTTTGGGAAGTAGTTTGCCACTGCCTCATTCTTAGGACTGAGAGAATGTGACTGGCTCAAGTCACTCAGCTGGCTTTATGACTAAGGCAGGGTTAAGTCATTTTTTTAAGAAGCTCAAATTCAAATTAATATTACAATTTTTAAAAATTATAAAGTAATGCTTAACAACCCATGCCATGTTCAATCATCATTTTAGAGATATTTCCTTACCTAAATAGAGACACAGAATGACCACAGCTGGACAAAGAAAACCAATGGGAACAGCAGGAGCAACTTCCAAATTTCTTGAGGAAAGATGGCAAGGAGCATCAGAAATCAATCCTGCCTGCCTGCCTGCCTGCCTGCCTGCCTGCCTGCCTTCCTCCCTGCCTTGGTGGTGCAGCAGACTAAAGTACTGTTAAGTAACACCAGCTGCCTGCAATTACTGCAAGTTCAAATCTCACCAGGCTCAAGGTTGACTCAGCCTTCCATCCTTCCAAGGTAGGTAAAATGAGCCGGATTGTGGGGGCAATAAGCTGACTTTGTATAAAAAAGAACACCGCTTGGGGGGGGGGCAAAAGCCCTACTAAGCAGGTATATACAAAAGTATGAAGGCTATTGCTTAACGCACTGTAAGCTGCCCTGAGTCTCTGGAAAAGAGCAGCATATAAATTGAACCAATAAATAAATAAATAAATAAATAAATAAACCTTCCTTGCTTCCTCCCTCCCTCCCTTCCCTTCTTCCTCCTTCCCTCCCTCATTCTTTTCTTTTCTTTTCTTTTCTTTTTTTAGAATAATGGTATTAATACTTACAAATACAAAGATAAAAAAATGAATACAAACTAATAAAAATATAAAAAGAAAAGTGAAAGAAGGTAGAAAACAAAAAAGAAAAAGAAGATACATAAAAATGATTCCTGCCCTCAGACAAGATTAAACAATTTGGGTAACATAACAGCTTCTCTAATATTTCAATTTAAAAAACCCTTTTTATCCCATATCTTATCCCTTATCAATAGTCATTACAAAAACACACCATTTCATCCTAATAGCATATTAAGATCAGAAATACTAACATAATTTAATCTTAATCAAAAAAATCAATTTATAATCAAAACCTAGCACTTTCTCTAAGAAATAAAACAGAAGAAATCTCTCCCCACTTATTAGTAAATCTTTAAAGCCTTATCATTTAATCTTAGTCCACAAGAAATTCCATTAACAGCTACGAGACCACAACATATATATTTTAACCCTGATCAAGCAGATTCATTTTATAAATATTCTTGTTATTTTAAAAAGCTTAATCTTTAGTCCCATTAAGTGGTAACTCACAAATTAATTTGTTATCATTTTTTCTTTGTCTCCTTCCAAGAACAGCTTGAGCAACTCCTCTTTGCCTTTCGTTTCAGAAAGAGTTTCCTTGATTCCACATTTCTTTTATAAATCCAAAATAAGAAAGCTTTCTAAATCACTCTTCCAATTTATTATTTGTATGTCCTCTTTAATTATTAAGACATCAACTGATTTCATTTGTAAATCCATTTTGGCATTATTTCCATATCATACTCTGGCATTTTAAAATCTGTTTTCAGATCCACATCATCTTTTTTCCATATCACTTTTATAATTCAACATTTTTTAAACTCCTCATCTGCATTCAAATCAATCTCCATCTCTATTTTAGCAAATAAAATCTGGTGTTCTTCTAGATCCTCTGCCATACATATCAAACAATCTTGTAAGTAACATCTGAGTATGTTGGTTCCAAACACAGTTAATTCAAAGAATTTTATCCAATACTGTAATTCATAATAAATAAATACAGACTTTTTTGCTTGATATCTTGGAGAACAACTAACAATTGAAATATAAATTTTTGGCCTTGATGGATAAGTAGAGAGGGTTCACACTTTGCATTAATTGATGCTATGGCTTATTTGGCTAAGTGTGATGTGTGGTGCATAAATTATTGAAGCAATGAAAATTAAACAAAGCAAACTTAATACAATGTATGATAGTAAAATTACTTTTTACTTGCAGATTAATATTTAGTTTTGATGTGTTGAGTGAACTGCTATTTAAATCCAGAGACCTAGAATAGAATAGAATAGAATAGAATAGAATAGAATAGAATTTTTATTGACCAAGTGTAATTGGACACACAAGGATATGCATATGCTCTCAGTGTACATAAAATAAAAGATTTTAAATGGGATGAATAACTGAAATCTAGACAGAAAGCTTGAAACATTAATTTTTGAATGCTCCAGAAACCAACTATTTTGGAAGAATACTCCAGCTTCCAGTTATAGCTAATGACTACAAAATGAGTTCATCTGACCTTTTGATCATTCAGGCAGCAAGGATGAATCTGTGTTGATACAGTTTGAATATTTTGAATTAGGTCTACATTAGGAAATAGGAAAATTTTATTTTACTGTAAAGAGTATTAACACTTGTAGCTTAAGGTTAGAAATGAAAAGTAATACAGTAATAAAATTATCCATTTGGTTCAGAAGGGTAGCTGACAAAGCAGATGGCTTATCTTAGTTCAGAGGAAGAAAATCTGCCAGTTTGGATGCACCTTTATGCCATTTTCAGAACTTTTATGTATCCTAATTGAATACCATCATAGCTCAAGAAAATCTAACTCCCTTAGATATTGGAACACTGCTATCATGTCACCCCTTGTCCTTCTTTTCATTAAACTACACATACCCAGTTCCCGCAACTGTTCTTCACATGTTTTAGCTTCCAGTCCCCTAATAAACTTTGTTGCTTCTCTCTGCACTCTTTCTGGAGACTCAACATCTTTTAAATATATTATGGTGACCAAAACTGGATGCAATATTCCAAGTGTGGTCTTATCATTATAAAATGGTAGTAACACTTCATGTGATCTTGATTCAATCCCTTTGTTAATGCAGTTTAGGACTATGTTGGTTTTTCTGGCAGCTGCAGCAAGTAGGTCCTTAATGTCCTGTTGACTATGTATAGTATGAAGCACTCATAGAACCATGTATGTGGCACTGAGGCATGAACTTTCCTGTAGTCAGTGCAGGCTTTGCTCCACACGTCTCAAAGTTGATAAGGTTGACAAACACTGCACTAGTTAATCTCTTTATTCGACCTAACTCAGTTCATGTGGCTTAATTTATAAATACATACTGTTACAGATGAAAATACCTAACCTGATATCTGTAAATATGTGTGCTTGTTTATATGTCATTGTGTGATGTCATTGTGTCACTTACCATTGGTTAGTACTTACCATTAGCCCCGCCTTCTCTGTATATAAGTTCTTGCTCCTCCCAGATTAGTTCCTGTCTAATTGTGTTCCTGAGGAAGAAAAGAAATAAATATTACTATTACAAGAAAGCCTACAGTCTCTTATATATGGGCCTAACCAGGATAACCAAACTAGCAACAAATTGGTAGCAAGAGGATGGTTTGGTAGGCCCAACCGAACATAAAGATGCAAGACTCACATAACGACAAAAGAAGACCTGCCACCAGATACATAACGAAAAGAATGGCAGCTCAACTAACTCCTGACAAATATACACCACTTGAAAATATTAAGAAACAAACACAATTACAAGAAAATGAACTGCTAACACCAAACAAAGAAGATGAGGTAAAAAGAAAAATACTAGAATTAATAGAAACAACTACAGCTGAATCAAATCTGCTTGTGAAAATCCGCAGCATAATAAACGACCACGGAACAGCAGCAGATAACGAAAATAACAAACAAGAAAACTGCAAGGTAAGAAATTCAACCCCTGACTTCAAAAATGACACCAAAGATGGCGACAGCTTCCCGCCTTTTTCATGGCAGCCATCTTACCCACCTAATACCTCTAAAATGCCTGACCAATTACTAAAAGAATTCCAAACCTCAAACTACGAAATAAAAAACAAAACCTACCAAGAAGATGATTACCCGAGTCCAAAAACAAATAAAAAACAATTATTTAAACAAAACAAAGCTCAACCTACTGAAGTAGAAATAGACAATGCTATACAGGTGCTAACTGCAGCACTCGGGACTAAACTAACAATACCAAACAAACAACCAGAAAATGAAATAGAAATTTCTAAACTACCATCTACCAAAGGCCAAAAAGAAATAGACTGTCTAAAGAAAGGCCTAGCCACCCGAAGAAAGACAAGCTGGCAATCATACTTACCTACTGAAGAGCAGCTCCCTGAACAACCCGGCTCCATTGGCAATGGCGGCCCGCCTCAAGCTCCACTTACTGACGACCTCAGAGAAGACTCCCCGATGAGCAGAGCAGCACCCCAGGCATTCTTCAGTCACCAGAGGCCCTCCGGAAACAAAGCAGAGCAACAGAAGGCCGTCTGGGACTTCACCCCAGGAGCTGCAGACACAGGAACCTCCCTCATCGACTGCTGGAGAAAAATGAGGACTGAGCATGCCCAGAACGAGCCTGCAAAGAAAGAAGAAGGAAACATAAATACAAGTCAGCGCAACATAGAGATAAGTAAATACAGACATACATCTACCATACCCAGGCCTTATTGTGAGTATGCTAAGGTCTTAAATCATGGACAGCTACTAAACATGAATAACACCTCACTACACTCAGGGACAATACCTCCAGACTTTATAAAA